GTATATTTCCTTTATTACTGTAGTTTCCCAAATAAATTATTATGTACCACCCTGTATAGGACAAGCACAATTTTTAAAACTGAACGTATTTGGAGAACCTAAGGATGAGCTGCACATCCTCAGGATCCCCTCTTGCAAAGGTATATCTGTTCTCGTTGCAGGACACATTCTTTTTACGTAATTTGTAATTGTTGCCCAATCTGGCAGAAATCATCTTATGTTTTTCAATACCTTTTAGAAATGTGAAAAGCATGGGGACTTGAGGATATTGGTATCTGCAAAACTAGGTAGATAATAGGATTATGGCATATCTGACCTGAGGAACCTGAGTCTCTTTGGGCTAGTGTGTGTGTGTGCGCTACTATAATCTTAAAGTAATATTTAATTCAAAAGGTTTAAAACGCAGATTTAAATCACGTACAGTAGATGCTGTTTCTTGATGTTTAAAAGTTTTACCTTCCTGCAGAATCAGTTGGCCCCTTGAGCACTGATCCTAATATCCTGTTTTAGGGTGGCTCCTTTCTCTAGCAGAGTCCTATGGAGCCACCCCATGCGTGTGCCTCTAGAAACACAAGCTCAGCAAGGCAAGACACTACCTGCTTCCCTCCTTCCTTCTCCAAGCTAGTAGATGGACAGCTGCTGGAGACTGCTCTGTCCATTTTGAATTTGTACTGGACAGGAAGTACAGGGGAGCTGAGAGTTGGAGCCAGCTGTTTGGAAACATGAATGTAAGTGTTTAGGGAAACATTTAAAGAAAATGTATTTTGCTGGGCAATATACATTTGTTTAATCTGAATGAATTATTGAAAAAAAAGTGAGTTTAATACTACTTTAAACTCTTACTATTCTTAACAGTCACATCAAGGTGTTGTCTGTTTTCTTTTGTGCCTTTTTATATACATATATAGTTTCTACTTGCTAACATTGTTTCCATATTCAATGTGTAGAAACATCCAGTACAGTATAAATTTGTTTTCAAACAGTGATGGGTCAACATATTACCAGTATATGCTAACCCTTGTTTGCACGTCTATTTATGACTATGCATTGTTTGTGAAGGGGATCCGCAGACTATGCAGTGACATACAGGATTTGTGCATTTTTTCCTGTTTAAATTATTCAACTGGATTAAAATGTTCTTTTCTCTACAAATCTGATGGTACTTGAGGTTAGGCAGAATAGTTGAGAGATCAGTAAGCTGGCTTTAAAGAACTGTAATTTGCATAGAAAAAAAAAATTTGTTTTTTGTTTTGATCAGTATTTTTAGATGCATACACTGTAAATTCTTCTTGATATTCCTCATTTGTCACGAGTTGAAGCTTTGCTAATTTGAAGATTACTGCGGACTGGCCACTGACCTTTCTGAGATGTGTAATTAATCAATACATGAAAAGCCCATATGCTTTTAGGATTAACCTCATCATATCCTGAGATCACTCATTTACAAATCACTGGCCGGAATCTAAAACAAATAGAATAAGTAACATTTTTCTCTGGAAAATTAATTTTGTTTCATCAACATTATATTGGGGAAAAAAATCAGAAACTGTCTAGGTACACTTTATTTAGTGCTGAATGTTAGTCTTTGATCGAATGGTCATTTGAGATGACTGACTCTTGTTAAAGGAGAACTATGAGATGAGCGATTTCCACTCACCTCATAGTTCTAGCCGACCTGTGACGATGAGACTGTCACAGGTCGGCTCAGTAGATCGGGAGGTGAGCGAACACATACCGGGTTCGCTCACCTCTCGATCCTGTCACGGCTGGATTCCCCTCTCCCCGCTCCGATCTGCCAGCGCTGACTGGCGGAACGGATGGGGGAGGGGGCGGGTACAGCTGGCTCTGCCTCTAGATAGGCAGAGCCAGCTGTCACTCACGCAGCTGGGCGGATCTTGTAATCTACGTCGGGATCCGCTGCGGCGTCTCAGTATACCGCGAGCTGTAGCTCGCGGTATACTGAGCTTAGGGTAACGGGAGGACGCTAGTTTGTGTCCTCCCGTTACCCTAAGGAGAACTATGGGGAAAAACACTGACCCCATAGTTCTCCTTTAATCATTGTGACTGTCTGGCAGCAAGTGACCAAAACGTACATTTTTCTTTCTTTTCATTGCATACATAGTAAATTGGCACCCACTTCAGCAGTGCTGCATATATGCTGCACATATTGGCACCTGTATGAGAATAGCAGTGGTGCCTAATAATAATAATTAAAGGAGAACTCTGGACAAATCAAATCATAACCCCTGCAATGGTGCTACTCCCGCACTGCAAGGGTTAAGTACTAGTTTTGACTAGGGAGCTAAAATAACCAAGTAATATTCACCCAAACCATGATACCAGCTTGCACGTAGACTGTTCCCTTCAGCCTCACTCCTCCTCCTCTCCAGTGGTCTACGGTCCCGTGAGTCTTCACGTCCAATAAAGTGTATTGGACATGATGATGGCGCGGGATAGTGTGTATGGGCTCTCTGGCTTTTATTCCCTTTAGCTTCATCTGTAGATAACAGACCTTCCTTCCCTTCATGTCTGTACTAATTTTATGGCAAGACAGGAGGCTTCATATTTTGCATATCTCTCTTTACTGATTCCTCATAACAGCAAAGAAACATAACAGAAACAGAAATAACCAATAGCAGCACACAGCATATTATATAAGTCCGCCCACACCAAGATCCCTCCTCTTTCTTTGCTGTTAGCCTCATGGCAGGTCAGTACTCCTACATCTCGCTCCTGTATTGCTGTTTTCTTCCTGTTGTAATTGGCTCTAATAGCCACCATACTACTGTGCTTTCTTGCACTGTTCCTCTCTCCCCGACCCCCC